AGCATGTGTGGTGCTAGTCTTTGCCTACACACCCAAGGGGCATGCATCACCTCCCTGCTAAGGTTTCAGAGCTGGGAAATGTAGATTAATCAGTGAGGAACGCAGTGAGGGCATCAGCCTTCAGATTGTCCTTGGGAGAGGGAGATAGCACGGGGGCAGGCACACTGCTGGCAAATGTGTGCAAACCATTTTACAGCTCAAATTCGGTGTTTTGCTTGGCACGGGAGGCGACACTCGTGTTAGTGGCTCCATCCCACCAGCTGAGCCGGGGCTTGCGGTTTCCCGGAGAGCGACGTGGCTCTGGGAGAGGACTGGGAGACAGAGGGACAACCTCTGCCTGGGTGTCCCGTGCCGGCCGTGCCTCGCCGCAAAGCCGGGAGCGTGAGGCTGGGGAGCGCTCCCGCTACATCCCGTGCCGGGCGCGGCCGGGCCCGGGGAAGATAACAGCTGCCCTGCGTGCTGCGGGGAGCGTCCGCGGGTGGGCGGGGGGTGTCCTTGGGGGGCAGGAGCGAGCCCTGGGCTCCCCTCCCGTGAGAGGGAGCGCTCCCGCCCCCGCCCGGCCCGCGCCGTCGGGGCCGTCCTGCTGTGCCGGTGACTCACGGCTCCCGTGACCGGAGCGGGCCCCGGCTGTCCCGGGCGGGACATGCCAGCAGGGGCCGGGCACAAGCGCTCTGCGGGCAGCCGGGGCGCCCTGGTGCGGCCTTCTTCCTCTGTGACATTTAAAAAAGATAACAGAGTAAGGTAAAGTAAAGAAAATTAATAGAATAAAATCCAACCATGGCTATTTCCTTGGTCAGCAGAAGTGTGCCAGCCACTGGATCTGAGACGCTGGGGACACCCTCACCAGCCTCTAGCTGCAGAGGCTTCTGGTGTACCATACGACTTTTTTTTCCTTCTTCTCTGTTTACGTTCCTGTTTCCTGAAGGAGAACAGGGCCATGAGAACTCAGGCCTGGCAGCACCTGTGCAAAGAGGCAGGGCTGGCCCGGGCTGCAGGGCCGGCCCGTGGCAGTGCTGGTACGGGGCGGCTGTGCCCGGCCAGGCACCAGGTGCCACCTTCCCTCCCCGCCTGCTTTCTTCCCAGCAAAGCGAATCCGCTCGGGAGCGAGCGTTCAGCATCTAACCCCCTCCTAGAGGCATGTGCTTAAACAAGACGAGTATCAACCCCACGATAAAAGTATTGGGTTATTCTGCAATGTAATCTACATCAAAGCCTCGGGGGCTGCCGGCTTGAAAAGATCCAAGATGTTTTCTAAGTCCTTATCATGTCTGTGCTTAGGGGGAGTCATAAATTCCACAGGTCGGACTAACTAACACACGATTCCTCCTTCCCTTCTCTTCTCTCTCCATGGCCGCCAAAGGGCTTTCAAGCGGGATTTTTTTTTTCTTTACCTTGTAAACAACGCTCCCGGTTCCGTGTCGTTAAGGTGGAGGGAGACGGAAAGATGCCCCACACCCCACCCCGAGATTCTCCTAAATCACAGAAAAAGGAATTATACCACAAAGCAAAGAAAGAAATAAATAAAGACGGTGAATCCGCATTCCCACAGGGGTCCCGCCGAGTGGGAGCAGTCTGTGGAGAAGGGATCGCGGGCGCAGCACTCGGCCCTTCCCGGGACTTACGGGGACGTCTCTGACCTGGGACGGGAGTTCTCGGGCTGTGCTGCTGGCCCCATTTTCCCCCAGTCCGCACCAGCCCCGTGGCCCAAGGCGACAATGAGCGTCGGCCCGAGGCGCGGTGTCCTCTCCGGTTCCGAGCACCGCCTGCCCCGGGCCCGAGGGCCGGCAGCGGCAGCGGGCAGGCAGCAGCGCCCTGCACCCCGCGCTCCCCCGCAGCCATGCCCTGCCCTGACTGCCCCCGGAAAAATGTTGGAAATTATTTTTTCAGATCAAGAAGTAAGGTTGAGGCTGAAGGAGGAGAATGGGGAGCCCAGCGTCTGCCCAAGAGGCAGCCCAGGGTGAAACAGCCCTACGGGGAAGATATCGACGTGAACGCGAAGGGGAGGGGGAAGATATTTCCCTACGAACGGTGTCCCCCATCAGGCACTTGTCAGCTGGAGAGGCGTTGGGTCGCAGTTCCCCGCTCAGGATCTAACGAAATAAGGAAAAAAAAAAAAAAAAAAAAAAACCACGGAGGAAGCGAAGAGGGAGACATCAGGCCTTCGCCCAGGCTCCAGTGTGCGGGTCTGGTCGCAGGGTCCATACTCCTCTCCCGGATCTGCAGCTCTGGGCCGAAGCGGGCTGGGAAACCAGAGAAGAAAGTGGAGAGGGAGCGGGCAAAACGGAGGGGAGAAAAGGCGTGAAACCCGGCCGAGAGGTTCTCTCCGCAACCTCCTTGAGAAGCCCCGATAGCTGGATAGGGCCGGGGGCGGGGGGGAAAATCCTGTGCCAGTCAAAACGAAAAGAAGCCCGAAGGGCCGCAAAGGCATCTAGGAGTGGATCGGGATCCCTCTTTTTTAAAGACAAGAGTGGCTCGGCGCAGCTCGTCTCCATCTCCAGCAGCTGCCATGGGTCGCGTCCGTGAAGCAGCTGCGCGGTGGAGGATGCTTCGAAGCATTTATCCGCGGGGCAAGCGGGACTCGTCCCCATCTCGCCGCCGACCCCGGTTAGGGTACGGCTGGTGGGGCCCGGTCTTCCCAAGTCCTCCCCGTAGTGGGAGGCAACTGGGGTCACTGTCAGAATGGCAAAGTAGCGGAGCAGCGCTCTGGCTGCCATTCCATGTAGTCGCGGAGCTGCCTCGGAGCCTTATCCTGCTCCTTCACCGGAGCCCCGAGACTCACATTTGATCCCGCGACCAACGGGCCCCGGCCCTGTCAGCTCGGGCTGGCTCCGGGTCTCACCCCAAAAAGCTGCCACCTGACTGCCAGGGATTCACTGATGGAGCCTTAGACACTGAATCGGGATTGATCAGGGTTGAAGTGCGTTTTATTACAATATGTCCAGAGTTTTGTCGTTTTAATGGCCCTTTCTCCGTTTATGGCATCATCAAATTCACATCTGCATAGATCGGCTCTGTCGGAGCTTATCGGGAGAGGCGATTACATTGAAGGGACACAGCGTTTCCTTTCCTGAGCGACATTTCAATCTCCTGCTCAGACAGCGCTTAGAGCTTCAAGCCCCGCTCTCCTCATTACCCCACCGTCGGGGCGGGGGGAAAGTGTCACGGTGGGAATAGGCAACAGAGAGAGAAATTCCCTCCTGAGAAAGCGTCCGGCAGGTATCCCTGCATCCCTGCTCTTGTGCTGCTGTTATCGTAGGGTCGCAACCGCGGCCGCCTGTGAACAAGTGACGGTGTGGGCACAGCATTCCTGGCTATGTGCCGGGTGGGGATACCCCGTTCCTCGCATCCAGGACATGCACAGCGTCTCCAAGGGGGCCGTCTGTGGCCTCTTCCCAAGGAGAGATGCTCCATCCTTTCCTACTTGGGCGTCCCGGTCTCCCAGGGCCACTGACACTGGATCCCTTGGGACATTTTGAGAGAGGTCACTGAATTACCCGCACTGGCGTTAAAGCATGGCTCCGCGTCAGCCCCACGCTCAGCACCAAAGGAACGATAAAATGGGGGGAAGGAGAGGGAGATTTTTAGAGAGTGAGTTCGGGATATCTGCCTTTGCAGAGCTGAAATCCGCCCTCAGCTGCAAGACACCCCGTCTCAGTGACACTCCTCGGTGTGCAGAACAGCCACCCACGTGGAAGGAAAAACACCCTTGGGACACGACCACGTAGATGTCCGTATGTAATACCCTGGTCATGAGGGTCCGGGACAGCGCGGGGCCCTTCTGGGGAGCCCCGGTAGGAGCGAGCCGCAACCGCCCCAAGGGACCGGGAAAGCCGGTGAGAATGGCTGAGACGGTGCTGCGCTGCTCCGGCGAAAAGTGCTGGGAAAACGGGGGGACATTCCCGTCCCCATCCATTTTTTTCCTCGGCGGGTGAAAGGTTTCCTCGCTGTGTCATGGGAAAAGATGCGAATATGCAAACGTCGTCTCGCATTGTCCCCGCTCAGGGTGAAAAGTTAAAGCATAAAAGCGGCGGGGGGAAGCTGAGAGGGGGTCGCCTCTTCAAAGGGGACTGGCTGGGCTGGGGGAGCCGGCTGCCGCTTGCCTGGGAGCCGCCCTTCCAGAGCCAGCATTTCCAGAGGGTTTCCAAGGACTTGGGGAGGGAAGAAGTGAGTGTGCTTGGAGGGACAAGCCGCCGGGTTCCCCGCGGGCTCGGCCGCGCTAGAGCGAGGGAATCGCCCAGTGAGGTGACAGGCTCCGGGAGGAGGTTGATGGTTCCCTCCTTGAGGAGAACCATCCCCTGCCTCTGTCCCAAGGTCCCCCGGGCTGCGGGATTATCCGGCCTCTCTCCAGCGGTGGGTCCGAGAGCAGAGGGTGTTTTAGACGAAGGCACCCCCAGTCCTCGTCCTTTCCCGGAACTGATGGGCGCGCCCGACCTCGAAGTTCTGCAGGCACACGCGGAGGAAGGAGACAGCGCCCTTGGAGGGGGGAATTTCTCCTCTTACCTCGCCTTCATCCCCTATGACCGAGCGGGAGCGGGAGCGGGAGCGGGTGGGAAGCGTTTTACAAAAAGCAGTAGGCCGTCGCGATGGGGTTTGTTGCTCAAAACAACCACGACAACATGGCTTTGTGGATTTTTAATCAAAACTCCCTCCTCTTCCGCCCCTTCCCCCCCACCCCCCAATACCAAAGCACAGAGAAGAGCTGGCTAAAGTGCTGCCCACAGATCGGCCGTGATACACGGCTCCCATATTCCCACCCTCGCCCTTAGATCTCCCTCTCTGTCTTTTGCAAGTCTCTTGATTTCATCCTTTGAACCTGTGATTGGAGGTTAAAGTGCACCAGGTTGCAATGGAAGGAGGAAGCTCTTAAACAATAAAGGCTTGAATATTTAGCTGTGATCAGGTCGCTGCCCTCTCCTTATCTTTTTAAATGCAAATCGTCTTTTAGGGGTAGTAGCTATATACCCAGCGCCTCTCCACGTCACCTGCCTTTGGTGTGTCTGGGCCATTACTAATAGAGCCTTGTAAACAATCGTTAATCATGTAAGGACTGCCGGCCATTGGATTCGGACCGGGAGCGCGGAGGAGCGCGGAGCGCAGCGCGGGGCCGCGGCCCCTCCGCCTGCCCCCTCCCCGCCCCGGGCAGCCCGGCCCCAGGCAGCAGCAGGCGCGCCGCGGCGAGAGCCCCGAGCAGCATGTGGAGAGCCGCCGCCGGGGCCCCGCCAGCATGTACGTGAGCTACCTCCTGGAGAAGGACGGGCCCATGTACCCCGGCCCGGTGCGGCACTCGGGGGGACTTAACCTGGCGGCGCAGAACTTCGTTGGTGCCCCGCAGTACGCGGACTACGGCGGCTACCATGTGAACCTCGACGGCGCCCAGTCCCCCGGGCCGGCCTGGCCCGCGCCCTACGCCGCCCCGCTCCGCGACGACTGGGGCACCTATGGCCAAGGGGCGCCGCCGGCCGCCGGCGCCGTCCACGGCCTCAACGGGGGCTCCCCCGCCGCCCCCATGGCCTACAGCCCCGCCGACTACCACCACCACCACCACCACCCGCACGCCCACCACCACGCCGGCCCCGCGCCCCACTGCTCCGCCGGGGTCATGCAGCCCCTCAACGCCGCCAGCGCCGCCGCCAGCGCCGCCCCCGAGCCGCTCTCCCCCGGGGGGCAGCGCCGCGGCCTCTGCGAGTGGATGAGGAAGCCGGCGCAGCCCCCGCTCAGCAGCCAGGGTAAGTGCGGGCCGGGGCCGGGCGGGCGGGGGCTGCCCCGCCGACGACTCCCCCGGTGCGCCGCCGGCTCCCCGTTACACCGGGCAGCCCGGCAAAGCCTTTCTTCGGGGAGAGCTCCCAGGAACAAACCCTCCCGAGGGTCGGCCCTCGGGAGAACAAGGCTGCCGGGCTCTACCGACAGCCCGTCCGCACTCACTGCTGAGCGCCGGGCCGGCAGCGGCAGGAGCGGCGCTCGGCCGGCGAGCAGCGCTGCCGGCCCCGGGGGCTCAGCGCCCGGGGATGCGCTCCGGCGGAGCAGGGTGGAATGGTCCGGATCCCGAGGAAACGCTGGCTCTTCCTCCCACCGCTCCGCACTCCTGCTTATAGCCACTTAGAAGATTTTTATAACCAATTATAGTCATATAAATCATCGGCCGGTGTAGCTCCGCATTTGTTTCTGAGTCACTGGGCGCCTGCCCTTTATTAAGGTCTCCGTGCGGCCAGGCCTCCCGAGTGACAGCGGCGGCCACTTGCCAGCCCGATCCCTGCGGGCCGTGCTGTGGCCCCGGCCGGGCCGGGCCGGGCCGTGCGAGGGCGTGCCCTCCCGGGTCAGGCCGTAGCCGGCGCCGCGCTCCCTTGTGATGTTAATACCCCCGCAGAACCTCTCTTTCATTCCCACCGTGCATCTGGTAGGGGACATGCGTGTCCCGCGCTTTGATATACGCCTTCCACTGCTACTATCTCCTCTTTTCCTTTTTTTTTTTTTAATTTCTTTTTTTTTAAATTTAATTTTTTCAAATATTTGTATATAGTGTCCAAAAAAAAAAAAAAAAAAAAGGATGACGACTTTCGCAGTTTCGCAGTGAATAATGACTTACGGCTTTCCCCTCTCATCCTCTGTCTTGCGTGACCGACGGCAGGGCCGGCGGGGGTACCCCGGTCGGAGCAGAGCGGTGCGGGAGTCCCGGCTAAGCCTGTGGCCGCCGCGCCCCGGGGGAAAAGCCGCTGGCACAGCCACGTCCCGGGTGCCGGTGGCGGTGGAGCTCTTACAGGCCCACCGCGCTTCCCACAGCAGCCCGTGGAGTTCCCACAGTTTGGGCTTGTGCGCTGGTGGCCGGTCCCTTGTCTCCATTCAAATTCTGCCTTTGGAGCCAGTGTTTATGTTAATGTGCAGAGCTGGGGGGATGAAAGCGCCTGCCGCCATTTGTTCAGTAGTGGTAATTCAAACAGAATGTGGCTGTCATTAAGGCTTTGAGAAGGGTTTTTCTTTGATAAGATCTCCTTGTCCTGCATTGTTTGGAATTGTGTTCCCTATTCACTGGCTCTGGGGAGTTTTCTCTGATCAGGCTTGTATCTTTACAGGGTGCTTTTGTTGTGGTTTGCAGAAAGTTTACCTGAACAAAGTCAGCCTGCTAGCCATTAAGCACCTTGGGGGCAGAGACTCCTCGCCTCGGCTCCCTGGGGAACGGGAGGGCCGGGGACACAACCAGTTAAACAAGAAACCCTCGGGAAAAAGGAGGCCAGCGGCTGCGGCGATGCACTCTCAGCGGCTGCTAGCTGGCATTCGCCTTCGGATTCCCTTGGGTTTTCGGTGTTTGGTTTGCTTTGGCGTTTTTTGTTTGTTTGTTGGTTGTTTGTTGGTTGTTTGTTGGCTTGGGTTGTTGGGTTTTTTGAGCTCTGAAGTTGTACGTCAACTCAGGCGTACAAGAAATCCCTTTAGCCCCCGTGCCGTAACAGAAAAGGGGGAGCTGGCCGCTTCACGAGTGGTTCCCCGCAGCCACTCCCGGTTCTCCGCCCTTAGACGGCTGTTTCTCGTTTGGAAACGAAATCACCGTGCCCTGAACGGGCCTTTCCTTTCTTTCCATTTTCCTCTTTCTCTATAAAAAGTCTGTTGTCGCTAGGGAAGGCAAAACAAAACCAGAAGCCAACAAGTGCACAGTGAAGGTGTCCCCGTGCAAGGCAGGGGTGTGCGGTGGGGCCAGGGCTGCCAGCCGGGGCTGGGAACCTCTGCGCCCTCCAGCATGCCTGGCGCTGGTGTCCCACGTTCCCAAGGAACTGCGGAACGTCTCCTCTCCTCTGCTGCGCTCAGCAGAGCCCAGGGCAAGGGGAGGCGAGCAGCAAGCCCGAGAAGGGGGGGATAGGACTGCTCCTGATCGCTCTGCACCGCAGACAGAACGGCTGCGCTCAGCTCTGCCCTTTGGCTTTGACTTTCTCAACCCTGGCTTTGTGCTCCGCAGTTAAAACCAGGACGAAAGACAAATACCGCGTCGTGTACACCGACCACCAGCGGCTGGAGCTGGAGAAGGAGTTTCACTACAGCCGCTACATCACCATCAGGAGAAAAGCGGAGCTGGCCTCCAACCTGGGGCTCTCGGAGAGGCAGGTCTGTCCCAAAAGTGGCGCTCGCTATGCGCGCCACGTGTGGCCGGGATGCGCTGGGCAGGGCTGCGCGGGGCTGGGATGCGCGGGGCAGGAATGCGCGGAGGCGGAACGCGCGGGGTTGGGATGCGCTCGCGGTGAGAGCCCCTGGGAGGGGGATGGATCCCCGGTGAACTATCCCCCCTCACTCCCCTGTCCACCTTCTGGCAGGTGAAAATCTGGTTCCAGAATAGGCGGGCGAAGGAGAGGAAGATCAACAAGAAGAAGCTGCAGCAGGCGCAGCCCGGCGGCGCGGAGCCCCTGAGCCCCAGCGCCTCCTTGCAGGGTCCCGCGGCGGGGGCGGCCGCCGCCGGGCTGGGCCCCGCCGCCCCGCAGTGACAGCGGCCGGGGACAGCGGCGCAGGGATTGCTGGAGGACGCAGCGGATCGGGCCGGGCCGGGGGGCTCGGCGGGAGAGGCCCCCCCCGATGCACTACACCGCCCCGCGGGGCCGGCCGTGTGTACAGGTGTACAGTGTATGTGTCTCGTCGTCCGGGGGAAGCGTGTCCATCGCTTTATTAATGTTATTATTATGTTTGGGTGCTTTTTTTTACCCTGGAATTTGTTAGATAAAGTGGGGGCGCTGCCTGCCAGTCAACCCCCGGTATATCTCAGGGATCGGTCCAAAAGACCTTTAAAATGTTGTCGGGCTACTGATGAATTTTAGCAGAAAAAAAAAATTAAAGCACATTTTTTTTTTATTTTATATTTTATTTTATTTTTTCTTGCAACCATGAATATGCAAAATGTTCATTCTGCCCTGAGGGTCAGAGAAGACAGATAAGGCACTGTTTAAACGTTCAGAAGTGAATTGCTTAATGTTAGGCACTTGTAAAAGAGCCCATAAATCCAGTGCAGATAGTCATCCATCCAGATTTATTAGCTGCAGTGCAGAGAAATTGAAAGAATTTCATCTCTTCTGAAAAAGGTGTCCTGTCATGCTGAAGTGGGGAGCCTTATTTGTGTGTGCAATGTCCCTTTGGTTAAACTGTGTGCTGTTTCTCACATCCTTACAATTTCTGTCTTGTTGGGGTGAGGGAGAGGGGAGGTTTCAGTTGATTTTCCAAAGTTCCCTTAATTTTATCAGTTTTATGTAGACTTCATCCACAGCTTCATCAGAAATAGAAATCCTTGGAAGAGCCCTGTGCTCTATCAGAGCCTGCTTTGCACACACAGGCTGTGGCCCATTTCCACGTGGTGGCTAGATGGAGGGGATCAGGGTGCAGAGGCCAAAAGACTCCCTTAGGCAGAGATGAAAACTAGAAAAGTCCAGCTGATTTGGCCAAATCACCTTGGCTGTTTGCCATATGTATTTCTTAATTAGGGATGGGAGAAGTCCAACTGCAAAGTGAGGCCAGGCTGGAGTAGCCATGCTGCAGCCAGTGCCCTTGGCTGGGTATGGAGCTGGCTCCTGTGGGCCTGGGCCCAGCAGGGAGGATGGGAGCACTGTCCAGCCCCAAACACGTTATGTGGATTATTGACTTCCCCAGGATTTAGCCCCATGCTGTTCAGTTTTGGTATAAAATTTATTTAAGTTATTCCATTTGCCTTCTTTTGGTTTCTTCCTTGTTGAAGCTTTTCTTACCTTTTTGCTAAAAGCCAAAGCCAAATGCTAGCAGCATCTACAGAACTGCCTTAGGAGAATGGTCTGGTCAGGGACTGACCCTACTGGCAAGGCAGCTCTCTCTGCCTAAGGGAACTTGGGGAAATGGAAAGCACCAGCCCCAAAGCCTCTGCTCTGCATTTTGTCTGCATGCAGCTCCATGCCTTGCAGGGCCAGGGGCTGGCAGTCCAAGAGCGGACATGTGGCCATGAAAACCTGATCCAGGGCTCCTGTGCCTGGGAGAAGACCGTGGTGGGAGGCAGCAGGTCCAGTGCAAGGAACCTGCTTGATTTTCTGCTGCAGATGTGGTCTCTGAAGTGGGCCTGGCTGAAACATGGGTGCAGCCCCATGAGCAGCAATGCTCATTGCACACAGGCTTGACACAGAGCACGTCCTGCTGGGTCCAATGTCCATGGTTTGTTCCTGATCAGAGGGAGGCAGGAGCCAGATTCATCCTTCTGTGACTCTAAAGGGTCCGTGGGTCATTCTGGCGGAGCTGCTGGGGACGACCAAAGCTGAGCAGCACCCGAACTGAGGGTCTTGGCTCTGCAGCACCCACCCTGCATTAGCGCAGAGCAGTTGCACCAGGGCTCTCCGAGCTAGAAAGGCTTTGCAGGCACCATGGCCCTCTCCTCCCTCTGCCCTGTCCCCGGGCAGGAGGGCTCTCGGGCGGCAGCAGCCCCGGGCGGGGCCGCCCCTTGGAGGGTGTCCTCTGGCGCCCGGGCCACCCCCGCAGCATTGATCCCAGCCCGGCTGCTGCCGGAGCTGCTGCGCGTTGCTGCGATACGCCTGTCAATAAACCCTGTTTGGATTGTGGAGCAGAGCGCAAGGTTTGTTTGTTTAGTGGTTAGAGGTTCAAAAGTCGGCATTGTCCCACTGCAAATGAGCACAAGTTTTTTCTCCCTAAGGAAAAGCTGGCTGTGCTGAGTGGGAGGGAGAGATATCGGTGGGCCCTTTTATTTGCTTCCAGGAATAATTAATGGCAGTGAGAAAAAAGATGACCACGGAGTTATGAAAGACCATCAATAAGTAAATTAATCACAAAGGGTCTGAGGGTTTAAGAGGTGCTGCTTGCTGTGGTTTTGTTGGCATTTACCCATGTCCATGGGGCTGGGGTGACACGGGACTGGCAGAATCCGGGACTCCTTGCTGCAGAGGTGGCACACAGTTGCCTCTGGCACCAGCCCAGGCATGACAACATTTGGGACAGTCCCTGTAATCTTTCACTCGTGTGCTTTGTGGGTTGGGGTTTTGTAATGCTGAAAGCGTGAAAATTTCTTTCTTGCCTGTAGGACTTTTGAGAAAGACAGTTGCCCTCATTGAGGTGAACTTTGTGTTTGATGTCCACAGAAGTTTTTTTCTTCAAGAAGCTCATTAGAGAAACATCAACAAACCTGACACATTTTAAACATCCCCATTCCAGGTCTCTTGATTGCTATTAGCAAGCATTCATTTTCTGAGCTCTCCTCAAATTCTTTACTCAGGCAACACAGAACTCAGATTTCTGAGTGTAAGAAGCAAGTAACTGAGCGAATCATACCCACTCCAATTTCAAATATGTCCCCTCTCCCATCCCCAAGCAACCAAATCATCAAGCTTCCATCTTCTTTTATATTCCTCATGCACCATAAAGAAGGGTAAAATGGAACAAACTGGGCATCCTGTTTATTTGAGTTGATATTTACAGGCACCTGGATCAGTCCACAGCTGAACTATGACATTAAACCAGAAGGTCTCTTTGTCAGAGGTGAGCTGGTTGTGGTGAGCAACCCATGGGTGTTTTCAATTCTCACAGAGCTCCATGCAGTCCTGCAGCAGCAAGCCAACCCAGACTGGTGGGGCTCAACAGGTCAGAGCTGCTGCACCTGCTTGCCTGACAGGGGCTGGAGCAGGAGTCCATGAAAAGAAAAATCCAGGAAATCAGAAGGTTTGGCCCCAAAGTTACAAGATGGAAGTCCCCTTGTCTCCCTCTCTTGCTAGGAGATTTTCCTGCTCCTAGCACTGTACGATAACAAACCAATTGGTATTCCTTCTCTTGGGTTAACTCTTAGGCAAATAGCAGTTGCTCAAGAAAGCTCTTTGAGTTTGGGGCAAGGGATGAGAACATGTGTCATAGCCCATCATAGGAAGAGCAGTAAGGTCCTTAGAAGATGGCATCTAGAGCAAATGTCTGCTTGCTCTGATCTGAACTATCTTTTAGTGGCACTTTATGTGTCCTCAGTCTGACGGCTGAGCACTCTGGATCTGCAGAATGAAGACAGGAAGCTTTTATAAAAAGAAAAAAAAATCTTACATTAGGAGTAAGCAACAACTTGAGACACATTCTCCATCCAGCATTTTTCCCACACAAGTGACCCCCATCCAGGCTGTTTCTATCTGTGGATGAAGCAGTGGCTGGAAGCACATATCCCACCATCTAACAGAGGGCAGAGCCCATCCCTCAGAAACTGCTATGGCTGACTGAAATCATGACTCCAGAGGCCTGTGTGAGGCCATAGGTTTCTCCTTGCTGCTCCATCAGCAGCTGGTGTGGAAAAGGCAATCATGGAGCTTACAAATCTGTTGACACAGCTCTGCTGTGTCATAGCCAAAATTCATGACCAAATCCCACACAAGTGTGGAACTGTGTGCTGAAGTTTAGAGCAGCTAGAGCTGGAAGCAAACCTTGAATTGATGCCAGAGAAGCAGCACTGGAGGCCTTCCAGGAAGAAAACAGCTTGTAAATGTTAACAAAAGTCAGCAGGACACAAGTCTGTTGAGGGTAGCCCAGCTGCAGGGGTAGCTCAGCAAGAGAACAAGGCCACCTTGGAGTGAGAGCCCATGGGATGGGTGGCCTGACCCAGCAGAGTGCAGTGCCAAGGAGGTGCCTGCTAGGGATCACCTTAGCAAAACAGCTCTGGGTACTGTCAGAGACCTCTGGGGACAGATGGGAACAAACTCGCCCTTAGCAGCTTTCTGGGCTTTGCTCCAGAGTAGCTCCTTGATGCAGCAGGATGTTCCTGCTCTCCTCGCTGATGAGGAAGGGCTGCTTCCTTCTCACCTGCACGTTCTGACACGCTGCAACTCAGGTGAACACAGTTTCTTCTAATTAATGTCTCAGCTTCTGCAATGCCCCCAGTTCCATTCTCAGGTTTTGACACTTTCAGAAGTCAAAGTTACCCTCCTTCAAAGATGGCAGCAGAGAGTTATTTGCAAAGAAACAAGAAAAATTTGAGCTATTCACAAAAACAAACAGTTTGTTGCCACGAGACTGGAATTAGAGACTTGGGAATCCCTTTCAAGCCCTGTATTTCTAAATTGAGGTATCACCTGTTTTGGGATGACACCCACTGGATCCCCCTGCTTCAAAGTAGGTAGAGGAAAATAGAGGATGAAAACTCGTGGATGATTCTGATTACACATTCACACAGATGTCTAGATACCAATCTGTGGCATTCATTAGACTCCAGACCAGTCAACCACTGGTAGATAACACGAATATTTTTCTCATTGCTCCTAATTTCCTCTAATTAAAATCCACTAACTCAGCTAAGATAATATCTAATGCAATCTGTATAATAGATTAATAGATATTTAATGTAATATCTGACATATTGGTTCAGGTCGGTGTTTTGATTCAATTTTTCAAACTGAGGGAAGTTCATCATTACGTTTCTTAAGTGTGCTTCACAGAACCATGTAATAGTGTGGGTTAGAAGGGGCCTTTAAAACTCACCTAGGTCCTTCTGCCCTGCAAT